GGCCACTGCGGGGACCCCGATGGCCACGGTGACCTCCTCCTCCTCCATCACCCCGGAGACAACCAATCGGCCACCGCGGGGACCCCGATGGCCACGGTGACCTCCTCCCCCACGGGATGTCCTCGAGGCCGAGATGTCCCGGTGGCCGAGCGCTATAGGACGCCCTCCATGAAGCTGGTGTCCAGGTGCTGGATGAGGACGCGGATGAAGGACATCTCCTTGCGCGTGTTCTCGAAGATGACCCGCGGGTCGTCCGACTGGCAGCGCAGGCAGTTGGGGGCCATCACCATGGCCAGGTTGTTGACGTCCATCTTGGTGACGGCCACGTTGGCCGGTTGGACGAAGACCTGCAGGGTGGAGAAAGGTTGGTGGGACATGGGTGGAGGGATCATGGGGAGGTTCTGGTTCTTGGTGGAGATGGAGAACCCAAAACCATCTTGAGATAACCAGGAGGGTCATGGACATCTGGGGTGGGTGGAGATGATGGGACTGGTGGGAGATGGAGAACCAAAACCCACCTTGAGATAACCAGGAGGGTCATGGACATCTGGGGTGGGAGGAGATGGAGAGGGTTGGTGGGACATAGGTGGAGGAACCATGTGCAGGTTCTGGTTCTTGGAGGAGATGGAGAACCCAAAACCACCTCGAGATAAACAGGAGGGTCATGGACATGTGGGGTGGGAGGAGATGATGGGATTGGTGGAGGTTCTGGTTCTTGGGAGAGATGGGGTCACCACGTGGTGAAGGTGGAGAACCCAAAACCACCTCGAGATAACCAGGAAGGTCATGGACATCTGGGGTGGGAGGAGGTGGAGAGGGTGGGTGGGACACGGGTGGAGGGATCATGGGGAGGTTCTGGTTCTTGGAGGAGATGGGGTCATCACGTGGTGACCTTGGAGAGCCCAAAACCACCTCGAGATAACCAGGGACATCTGGGGTGGGAGGAGATGATGGGATTGGTGGAGATGGGGAAGCCAAAACCGCCTCAAGATAACCAGGAGGGTCATGAACATCTGGGGTGGAGGAGATGATGGGATTGGTGGGAGATGGGTGGAGGGACCATGGGGAGGTTCTGGATGTTGGAGGAGATGGGGTCATCACGTGGTGACCTTGGAGAACCCAAAACCACCTCAGGAGAACCAGGAGGGTCACCAGGAGCACGAAATGATGGGATGGAAGGAGAAAGATGGAGATGATGGGCTGGTGGAACATGGGATGGAAGAATCCCATGGACCTCCTGGTTCTTGGAGAACCCAAAACCATCTCAGGAGAACCAGGAGGGTCATGAACATCTGGGGTGGGAGGAGATGATGGGATTGGTGGGACATGGGTGGAGGGACCATGGGGAGGTTCTGGTTCTTGGTAGAGATGGAGAACCCAAAACCACCTCGAGATAACTGAAGGGTCATGGACATGTGGGGTGGGAGGAAATGATGGGATTGGTGGGAGATGGGGGGGAGGGACCATGGGGAGGTTCTGGATGTTGGAGGAGATGGGGTCATCACATGGTGACCTTGGAGAACCCAAAACCACCTCAAGAGAACCTGGAGGGTCATGGACATCTGGGGTGGGAGGAGATGATGGGATGGAGGTGATGGGGTTGGTGGGAAATGGGTGGAAGGAGCATGGGGAGGTTCTGGTTCTTGGTGGAGATGAAGAACCCAAAACCACCTGGAGATAACCAGGAGGGTCATGGACATGTGGGGTGGGAGGAGATGATGGGATTGGTGGAGATGGAGAACCCAAAACCACCTCGAGATAACCAGGAGGATCATGGACATCTGGGGTGGGAGGAGATGATGGAGGTGATGGGATTGGTGGAGGTTCTGGTTCTTGGGAGAGATGGGGTCACCACGTGGTGAAGGTGGAGAACCCAAAACCACCTGGAGATAACCAGGAGGGTCATGAACATCTGGGATGGGTGGAGGTGGAGAGGGTTGGTGGGACACGGGTGGAGGGATCATGGGGAGGTTCTGGTTCTTGGAGGAGATGGAGAACCCAAAACCACCTCAAGATAACAAGGAGGGTCATGGACATCTGGGATGGGTGGAGATGATGGGATTGGTGGAAGATGGAGAACCCAAAACCACCTCAGGAGATAACCAGGAGAGTCATGGACATCTGGGGTGGGTGGAGATGGAGAGGGTTGGTGGGACATGGGTGGAGGGATCATGGGGAGGTTCTGGTTCTTGGTGGAGATGGAGAACCCAAAACCACCTCGAGATAACCAGGAGGGTCATGGACATCTGGGGTGGGAGGAGATGATGGGATTGGTGGGAGATGGGTGGAGGGACCATGGGGAGGTTCTGGATGTTGGAGGAGATGGGGTCATCAAGTGGTGACCTTGGAGAACCCAAAACCATCTCAGGAGAACCAGAAGGGTCACCAGGAACATGAAATGATGGGATGGAAGGGGAAAGATGGAGATGATGTGGTTGGTGGAACATGGGGTGGAGGAACCCCATGGACCTCCTGGTTCTTGGAGAACCCAAAACCATCTCAGGAGAACCAGGAGGTCATGAAAACCTGGGGTGGGTGGAAATGATGAGATTGGTGGGAGATGGGTGGAAGGAAGTTCTAGATGTTGGTGGAGATGGGGTCACCCCGTGATGAACTTGGAGAACCCAAGAGGGTCTCTTGAGATAACCAGGAGGGTCATCAGAGGGTTATGAACATCTGAGGTGGGTGGAGGAAGATGGAGATGATGGGATTGGTGGAGGTTCTGGTTCTTGGGTGAGATGGGGTCATCACATGGTGACCTTGGAGAACCCAAAACCACCTTGAGATAACCAGGAGGGTCATGGACATCTGGCGTGGGAGGAGATGATGGGATTGGTGGAGATGGGTGGAGGGACCATGGGGAGCTCCTGGTTCTTGGAGGAGATGGAGATCCCAAAACCACCTCGAGATAACCAGGAGGGTCATGGACATCTGGGGTGGAAGGAGATGATGGAGGTGATAGGATTGGTGAAGGTTCTGGTTCTTGGGAGAGATGGGGTCACCATGTGGTGAAGATGGAGAACCCAAAACCACCTTGAGATAACCAGAGGGTCATGGACATCTGGGGTGGGTGGAGATGATGGGATTGGTGGAGATGGAGAACCCAAAACCACCTCGAGATAACCAGGAGGGTCACCAGGGTCATGAAGTGATGGGATGGAAGGAGGAAGATGGAGGTGATGGGATTGATGGAGCTCCTGGTTCTTGGAGGAGATGGGGTCATCATGTGGTGACCTTGGAGAACCCAAAACCACCTCAGGAGAACCAGAAGGGTCACCAGGAACATGAAATGATGGCATGGAAGGAGAAAAATGGAGATGATGGGGTTGGTGGGACATGGAGTAGAAGAACCCCATGGATTTCCTGGTACTTGGAGAACCCAAAACCATCTCAGGAGAACCAGGAGGTCATGAAAACCTGGGGTGGGTGGATATGATGAGATTGGTGGGAGATGGGTGTAAGGAAGCTCTGGATGTTGGTGGTGATGGGGTCACCACGTGGTGATCTTGGAGAACCCAAAACCACCTTAGGAGAACTGAAATGATGGGATGGAGGGAGGAAGATGGAAATGATGGGTTTGGTGGAACATGGGGTAGAAGAACCATGTGGAGCTCCTGGTTCTTGGAGAACCCAAAACCACCTCGAGATAACCAGGAGGGTCATGAACATCTGGGGTGGGAGGAGATGATGGGATTGGTGGAGATGGAGAACCCAAAACCACCTTGAGATAACCAGAAGGGTCATGGACATCTGGGGTGGGTGGAGATGATGGGATTGGTGGGACATGGGTGGAGGAACCATAGGAAGGTTCTGGTTCTTGGAGGAGATGGA